GATGGAAACTGTTGCGTTTAACGATCGACTTTCATAAATCGTTTCCTTAAACTAACTGTAACGCTCCGACAAATTTATAAACGATACCATATTTTCAACCTTTTTATTTTAAAATTCTTTCTTCATAACTCTGCCTGATTTTTGTAGTCCTCTTTCCATAATTAATTTTTATAACTTTCTATAACTCTTTAGTCTCTCAAACTCGAGATTTTCGATCGATTAAAAATTCTGCAATAATTCGAAACTTTGAAAGAGTTAAAGTTTAAACGAGCTTATTCACCGGTAATATACTGCACGGATATAATTAGAGTATTCCTCCCAATGTCCGGCTATATCCTGAAGATTTAAACTGCAATCTCATTCGAATCCCACTCACTCTCCGACTGCAATCCCAGTAATTACTGTAAACTTATTAACACCGGCATCGAGGGAAGCTGTGGCAAATAAGAACGACTTAATTGATCACGGTTTATCCGATATCTTCGCTTAATTAATTCTTCGGATTGATTTTTGATACCGCACCGATGAAAATTCTCGTATTAACGTGTTAACATGCGGTGACAGATAAATTTCCTCTGCAACCAAGTATTATCTGGAACAATTCCTTGCGCGTAAGTGGAGCTCAATTTTAAGAGCATCTCTTGGCTGCACGTGTTTCTAACATCTCTTTTAAACTGTTGGAGTGCGTGCGACAAGCGGGGAAAACTGAAACGAGCTAAATAAACTGTGCGCTGAGACGAGATTCAGCCATCTTTCCTGAATACGATTTGAACGGTAGGCTACAACTACTTGGAATATAAATTGAAAACTTAAGGAACCTTGTGTAACTCATTAAACATAACTTTGTGGGGTGGAATCTTGTTTTATTGGTGAGAAGAATTTTTAGTGGGATTAAACGATTGTTATGTAATTTTAGTAATTGCACGCGTTATAATTTCACGCGGTATATCTTCACGCGTTGTAATTTCGCATGTTGTACTTTCACGCGTTGTAATTCCATGCATTGTAATTTCACGTGCTATAATTCCACACGTTCTAATTTCACGTGCTGTAATTCCACGCGTTGTAATTCCACGCGTCGTAATTTCACGTGCTGTAATTCCACGTGTTGTAATTTCACGCGTTGTAATTTCACGCGTCGTAGTTTCACGCGTTCTAATTTCACACGTTGTAATTCCAAGCGTCGTAATTTCACGTGCTGTAATTTCACGTGTTGTAATTTCACGCGTTATAATTCCAAGCGTCGTAATTTCACGCGTTCTAATTTCACGTGTTGTAATTTCAAGCGTTGCAATTTTACGCGATGTCATTCGACGCGTTGTAATTCCACGCGTTGTAATTCCATGCCTTGTAATTCCAAGCGTTATAATTTCACGCGTTATAATTTAACGCGTTGTAATTTCGTAAACCAAATGATTATTTTTCAGTCGGTGTAACATGTAGAACATATCGATTTCAATGTAGTCGCTTTAAATAAATTCGTAGATACTCGACTATCGATTTGAAGTTTTCCGAACATCACGAAAGAACGAATACGAGACTCTGTTAATGTGTTACAAACGTAGACGTTTAATATCCACGTTAAATGTCAGAGAAGATTCGTTCCGGAAACGATTAATCGTGCAACGATCCTGATTAGCTCGATTAACGAAATTTGAACGTTAGCGTGATTTCAAATGCGAAGTACATATTGTCACGAACAGGGATATCGGTAAACATAAATTATCATGCATCAGCTAAATATAGGTTGATTGCAAAGTAACGCGTAACATGATAGGCACCTCGGTTGGCGATAATTAAACGATAATTGATAACGTTATCCTAGAAATTTCCAGCCGATCGTCGTCGATAATTATACTACTTTCCTGGCAGAATTTAGAACTCGAATCATCTAATTCTGTTCGGTTTGAGTAACGGCCAGTCAGTGGGATTAATAAATCTTCGTTAAAAAGAGGCTCGTTAGAGGCTACGTTCATCTATTTTTATATCTTTCAGTCTATTCTCTCTTCCATACGAGACGATCGATCGGTGTCGCGTTAATGATTACCCCACGGCCTTTAACCCCCTTTCGAATCCTCAAATGTCGTTCAAATGACCTTTTATAATGTTCGAATTATGATTTTGTTAATTACATTTTCATTCGTCGTTAATTTGGAACTTTAAGAGAAAATTTATTTATTAATTCTTTATATAATTTCACGCGTTGTATGTCCACGCGTTGTAATTCCACGCGTTGTAATTTCTCGCGATGAAATTTCACGCGTTGTATATCCACGCGTTGTAATTCCACGCGTTGTATATCCACGCGTTGTAATTCCACGCGTTGTAATTTCTCGCGTTGTAATTCCACGCGTTGTAATTTTTCGCGTTGTAATTTCACGCGTTGTATATCCACGCGTTATAATTTCACACGCTGTAATTTTACGCGTTATAATTCCACGCGTTATAATTCCACGCGTTGTAATTTCTCGCGTTGTGATTTCACACGTTGTATATCCACGCGTTGTAATTCCACGCGTTGTAATTTCTCGCGTTGGAGAGATTAAAGAATTTAGGTTAATTTCACGTACACTATATAATAATATACGTACAATTACAATAGATAATCGATGCCTTAAAATCGTCGCTGCTATTAAATAAAATAATCTTCTAATTAAGGAAACTCAAGTCCCAATAACAGTACAACCTCGTTATATTGCCACATAGACAGTAGAAACAAAACGATTGAAATCGGCAATGCACACGTATCTCTACAAATACGTCCCGCCACGCAGCTTAAAACTTCCCACACAGTCTTATTTCCGCAGCACTTTCCACATGCTTAGAATCGGCTTATATATGAACAGGATTTCCGTAGTATACACTCGGTTTTGCTCGTGACGTCTAGCTTTAGCGGCACTAAAGCGTGTGATATAACGCTTCAGGGAAACACGACCAGCGAGGACATAAACTCTTACGGTCTAGCTCTCGCGGACAAAACCTGTTACACGGTGCTACCAAGCCGACAGCTTACAAATCGTCCTTTTCCATTCACGGAGAACCGTGTAGCGTGAGTGGAAGCAAATCGGTAGACGCGGGATGACCGACGGAAATCGCGTATTCGTTTCAACGACGGAAATATACCGTCAAACCGGCCAACGCATCGCTGCTCTACAGCAACGAAAATGATTCTATACATGCTTGCAGAGAGCCATTTCTAACATTGGACGCACTCGAAAGTGACACCTTATTGAACCTCATTGTTGTGCATCTTTAGTGAACCTCATTATTGTGCATCTTTAGTGAACCTCATTGTTGTACATCTCTAGTGAACCTCATTATTGTACATCTTTAGTGAACCTCATTATTGTGTGACCTTAGTGAACCTCATTGTTGTGCATCTTTAGTGAACTTCATTATTGTGTGATCTTAGTGAACCTTATTGTTGTACATCTTTAGTGAACCTCATTATTGTACATCTTTAGTGAACCTCATTATTGTGCATCTTTAGTGAACTTCATTATTGTGTGATCTTAGTGAACCTTATTGTTGTACATCTTTAGTGAACCTCATTATTGTGTGACCTTAGTGAACCTCATTGTTGTGCATCTTTAGTGAACCTCATTATTGTGCATCTTTAGTGAACCCCATTGTTGATGATCATAGTGAGCCTCATTATTGTGCCTCTTTAGTGAACCTCATTATTGTGTGACCTTAGTGAACCTCATTGTTGTGTGATCTCAGTGAACCTCATTATTGTGTGATCTTAGTGAGCCTCATTATTGTGCATCTTTAGTGAACCTCATTGTTGATGATCATAGTGAGCCTCATTATTGTAGATCATAGTGAGGCACATTCTGGAGGACGTTACAAGAAACGTCCGCGATAACCATTGTACTCCTTAGCGGTTCTCTAGCGGTTTTTTCGCTAGTCAAATTAAGCACCCAGGTTCATCCCGAGGTTAATGTTCCTCGAGAAGCTTAACGCGAGAAGGTGGCAGTAAAAGTCTCCCGCGCTAAAGTGTGCCACAAGAGGAGAGGTATAAGAAAGATGCCAGTAGAAATTTCGAAGTGTTTTCACCGGGGAAGATGTTTCCCTGCGGCAAGAATAAAACGTCAGACCTTGCGAGATAAATGAAATCCCGGACGATATTCCTTTGGACCTGCATCGTAAACCGAACGGGACCATAAAGTGACGTATTCGAGGGCTCCGATCGAGTGTCCTGTTATATGGCCGATCGTGTATCGTTCTTTTGTGCGACGATACGTTACTCGTTTTATTGCTGGGTCGAGTGCTGTTTAGCTCATGATTTTTGGATGGCTCGTTTTACGATGGTTTTTGGGACTCGAATTCTTGCTGTGTTGAGGTTTAATGCTGTATTTTAATTTTCATGAAGACTTGTACTTCTAGGGTCCACTTATCATAGGTTACACGACTGACTTTAATATCAATGCTTTCTACAGATGTTTTTGTGAGAAGTTTGTAGCTTAACCTCTTCAAGAATGATTTCTTTAAAACTCTTCAAGATTAGACAAACTGTCGCAAAGTGACAGGTTAGGTCACTTTAGATCTACATATGTGAAAGGTGTGGATCAAAATGAATGACAAATGTCAGGTCTATAAGAATCGACCTGAAGTGCTGGGTTCAGAATGCAAGAATAAAATAGGATCCACCCTAAACATCCACTTCCCTATCTTGATATTAATATTCTAAGAAATGTAGCTTAGGAGCGAGATCCAAAAGGGTTTACCCTAAGAGTAATACTCAAAAAAGTCCAGCCTAATATTAAGATCCAAAAGAATTAACCCTAAGAGTGTACCTAAAACGCAGCCTACTAAGATCCACACCTGTCCCAGTAATATGTAAAAGGATTAAACCTAAGATGAGAAGAATCCTAAAAACAATGTCCACGATCTACCAAGAACAATAAAGTCCACTAACAATAATATCCACTAACATTAATAACCTTCTAACAATACCAGTCTCTAAAACCATACCTTGGTATAACAAAGTCACTCACCAGGGGTGCGCATTCTCGAGGCTGCTCTCCCTCGGGCAGAGTGGTGATGAGGAAGAGCACAGGACTGGTGACGAGTAGACTCGTGACAAGCAGCATGGCGAACGTGAGCAACGCCTTGTGCACGGCTTTGCTTCTCCGTAACCAGTAACACGGCACGCAGCATATCCAGGTACCCTGTTGCACGGCCCTCTCGACGTGTACCTGATGGCAGAACACGTTACACCGATGAGAAGAATGCTCCTCCACTTTGCACGCGACACGTGCTTCGCTTTAAGTGGCGTTTAATGCTGATGAGGCGGGTGTTTACGCCAACGCCGTCGTATATACGTGGACGAAAACGAGGAGAGTTCGAAAGGGGAGAACTAAACAACGAGCTATTACGACACGAAAATACTCACGGATTATGGGGCTCTGGATGAGGATCGTTTAAAGGAAAAACACTGACGAAATGGAAAAGAAATGTCGGGAGAAAATGGAATGTCAACACGGTGCTGGATTACGATGAGCCACGGAGGGAAAATGAAACACTAGGAAATCTGACTTGGCGATTGTCGCTGTGTTGCCACTTCTACATTGCGGTCCCATAGGATATTAACTACTTTAATGGGTTTAGTCTCTTTCCATACTTTTAACTACTGTTTGGATATTTATTTTGCGTAGGTGATTTGAAGTGCTAGGAAAACTGGAGGAAAGAGAGTTTCTTTCGGGACCTGCTAGTGGACTCGTCACAACTAGTGAAACTCTCGAAGTAGTGTGATGGGGCTTGCAATTCTGAACAACTTTTCCCTTTGCAAAAATTCGATCTGAAGCTTAGTTTCTGAGTTATTAAAGAAAAACATGGACCAATCAGTGCGCGAGGATTGCGCATGCGCGGACGCGACAGCTCCGCCCAGTAGCTAAGCGCGCGCAATCGTCGCGCTCTGATTGGCCCGTGTTTTTCCTTGATAACTCAAAAACTAAGCTTCAAATCGAATTTTTGCAAAGGGAAAAGTTGTTCAGAATCGCGAACCCCATCGCCCAATCTCAAGAGTTACACTAGTTGTGACACCCTGTACTACCAAGTACCTTAAGTACTACCAAGAAAGTCTCAGTCTTATACGCCTAGTGCCGATGAGCCTAAATGATCCACATGTGAGTTAAGATGTTGAAATGAACGTACCATCGGTTCGTCAGGAAGGCCGGATCCCTCGTCGGTGCCAGGTCCCGCAGGGTTTCCGGTTCCAGGAGCGGTTGGCGC